CGGCGGCAGGGGGGGCGGCGACGGCGGCGGCGGCGGCGGCGCGGCGGCGGCGGCAACGGGTGCGGGTGCGGCGGCGGCGGCGGTGGTGGCTGGCTGCGGCGGCGGCGGCGGCGGCTGCGGAGGCGGCGGCGGCTTGGCCACCAGTTGCTGCCCATCCAAAGACGACTGCTGAATATGCTGAGGCTCGGGCCAGACTCGGGTGCTACGTATGTGTTGGGTGGGCGGGTTGGGAGTGAGCGAAACGCTTGCGGGCGGGGAGGGGGTCTTGTCCTTACCCTTACCCCAACCCCTAACCCTAAACCAAAACCCTAACCCCAGCCCCTAAACAGTACTCACTACTCATTACGCACTACTCACTGCCCACTACTTACTACTCGCTACTCACTACTCACTGAGCACTATCCACTACCCACTATTCGCTACTCATTACTCACCACCCACTACTCACTACCCACTACTCACTACTCACTACTCACTACTCCCTACTCACTACTCACTGCTCACTATTTACTACTCGATACTAACTACCCACTACATAGTACTCACTACTCACCGAACATAACTCACGATCCACTCCTCACTATTCACAAATCACTACTCACTAGCCACTACTCACTACTCCAATTCACTACTCCCCACTTACTGCCCACAACTCACTACTCACTATCCACTACTCGCTACTCGCTACTCGCTATTCCCTGCAATTTACTCACTACTCACTACTCGCTACTCCCTACACCCTACTCGCTACACAGTACGCACTATTCACTACCCACTACTCATTACTCACTACGCACGACTCAGTACTCCCTACCCTACTCCCTACTCACTAGTCACTAGACGCTAGTCACTCCTGACTACTCTCTATTCACTACTCACTACTCACTGATCACGATTCACCACTCACTATTCACTGTTCTCTAATCGCTACTCACTACTCACCACCCACTACTAGCTACCCATTCCTCCCTTCTCACGACTCACTACTCACTACTCCCTACTCAATACTCACTATTCACTACTCACTACTCACTACTCGCTACTCCCTACTCGCTACAAACTACTCCCTACTCACTACTCACTACTGACTGCTCCCTCCTCACTACTCACTACTCAAAAGGCCCTACTCGCTACTCACTACACCCTAATCGCTACTCGCTACTCACTACCACTACTCACTACTCACTGCTAGCTGCTCACTACTCACTACTCACTACGCACTACTCACTACTCATGACTCACTACTCTCTACTACCTACTCTCTACTCGCTACGCACTACTCACTACTTACGACTCACTACACACGACTCATTTCTCACTACGCGCTATTCACTATGCACTACCCACTACCCACTACTCACTACTCATTACTCACCACCCACTACTCACCCCCCACTACCCACTACTCACTACTCCGTACTTTGCACTCCCCACTCAGTACTCACTACTCACTACGCACTACTCTCTACCCACTACTCGCTACTCACTACTCACTAATCAATACTCACCACGCACTATTCACTACTTTGCAACTCAATACTCAACACTCACTATTCACGACCCACTACTCCCCACCCCCTACCCCCGATGCCCTACTCGACTCGCTACTCACTACCCAGTACTCACTACTCACTACTCACTACGCACTACTCACTACTTACTACTTACTACACACCACATCCTACTCCGCACTCCCTACCCACCTTCTCCGGCGCAGAAAGGAGAAGCGGGAAAAGCCCCCTCCCCCCCTCCCCGCCCCCCTGTTCGGCGCAAAGGGGGGGATGGGGGGGGGTCCGACCCCCCCCCCTTCCAGCGCCAAGGGGGGAGGGGGGGTGCGTCCGGACCCCCCCCTCCCCTTCAAGGGGGGAAGGGGAAGGGGGGGGTTCGGAACCACCCCCCCATTAAGGGGGGGAGGGGGGGGGGGGATGTCGAAAATCTCACCACCCTTTTACAGGGGGAGGGGGGGGGTTCTGCGAGCACCCCCCCTTTTTAATTACAGGGTGATCCAGTGGCGCGCTTTCGCAATTATGGACATCAACGGGTAACAAGACCAATCGATAGAGATACCGACCGATAAGAGGTAGCGAAGTAAGTAGTTAGATGGGTGTCCCCTGGTTGTCCTGTGGATGTCCCGCGGTTGTCCCGCTTTTGCCCTGTGGTTGCTTCGCGGTTGTCCCGTGAACGTTCCGATGATGTCCCGAGGTTGTCCCGTCTGCAGATCGATATAGAGATTGTGAGATCGATGGAAGAATACATTGATCTATGTTTCGGTAAAGTGATCGGCTGGTAGATAAGTGACAGACAGATGGGGAGATCAAGGCCGATCTATTCAGTTCGCGAATCCGATCCGACCTCATTCGCAAACCGAAAGCTGCATCCCCTCCCTAAGCCTCATTAGCACCATAAAGGTGGTCCTAGATGTACCCTTGTTCGAGTGATGTCTCTGTGGATGTCTTTATTTGTTTGTTGTGTTTGTTGCTGCTCTCTCTCTATCTCCTCTCTTCTCCTCTCTCTCATTCTCTGTTTGTATTCATACACGCGTACATCGGAGTGGCTGTCTCTAGATGTGTGGAAGTGGCATTCCGCGATGCAGATTGGATTGTGATTTTTGAAAAATCATTCAAATTGATCCCCCTGTTCTATGCCCATTGCGTTCTCCTCCCTTGAAGTAACCCCCCACGCGGTGAAACCTTGTCTTCTATCACAGAAATGTTCCTACTCAATCCGCGTTGGCGGGCCACTGGCTACAACATCAGCTGCTCCTGCTGGATACTTAAGATTTACTCAGGGGTCGCGCTCTTGTCAAATACTTCCTCGCATTTCACTCAAGAGTCGTGCTCTCGCATGGTATTTCCGAACAACTTACTCAGGCGCACGCGCTCACTGCTCAGGAATCATGGTCCTGATTAGGGCTTCCTCCTCGCGATTAGAATCGCGCTCTCGCCGCTCGGGAACTGCACAACTGCACCCTCGCCCAAGGCATTTCTACACATTACGAAGGCATCGCGCTCTCGCCCCATTCAGGCCAGCATTATGTTTTTCAATCGAAGGGCGCCCTCGGCTATCGCATCCAGATTGAAGCCAGGGAGAATCAAATGGCTCAAACTGCCACCCTGGTCCCTAGACTCGAACAACTGCAACCACCTCATACTCTCTCAACAGATTCGGTCTCTCGCTACAGACATACTCGCGATGTACTCAAAAATCGCGCCATCGCCTGTGACTTTCACAGAATTTACTTCGGTGCCACGCCCTCACTGCTCAGGACTCGTGGTCTCGTTTGGGAGATCCTCTCAATCGAATAGGCGCCTGCGGCGGGCCGACCCACTCTTGTTCCTTTTAATAACCGGGTCGGCGCCTGCGGCGGGCGATTTTGCATGGCCTCTGCAGAACACCACTGCTGGGCGCGCCCCAGCCCTGGCGCCCCCTTGCTCTCGTCCGCAACTTCAGGAGACCATGCATACAATTCGTGACGTCGTCGCCGTCGTCACCGTCGCCGTCTTCGTCGCCGTCTGTCGCCGTTCGTCATCATCGTCGTCGTCGTCGTCGTCGTCGAGGTCGAGATCCCTCCCTCCCTCCCTCCCTCCCTCCTTCTCTCCCCGAGATCCGCAAGCGGCTGGCCAGGGCGCGCCCCAGGCAGCGGCAGGCGACTGCAGGTCGCCGATGGCAGAATAACCCCAAAATCCGAGAGCCATGCATGTTCAAAAAGTGGGGTCCAAATTTCGCCCATCCTAACGGATCAATCCCCCACTCGAGAGACATGATGTATGTGCAGGCCAGCTTGCAGAAACCACATGTTCATTCACCCAATGATAGATGCACGATCGCGCAGGAGTCAATATGCCTGGCCTTCTCTTACGGCTCCCCTTTACCTCCACATGTGCACTGAAGTATACTCTAGCATCTAGTACGTACCTCCACCGCTTAGGTAGCTATGCTTGGAATGTCATAGTACGTTTACCGGAAAAAACTCCCTGGCAAATTCAAGCCAGCTGCTCTGCGGTCGCCGCATTCCCCAATCCGATAAATTTAGAGGACATTCCGAGCGTTAGCCTCACTCTCGAACTTCCAGAAACTCTCACGCGGTGCGTAGACATAGACATAGAAACTCTCACGAGATCTGTTGTTCGAGTCACTTCGAAAAGGTATTATCAGCAGGAACATGTATGGACTGAGTGTTTCCGGCACGCTGAATCGGGCTCGTTTCTCGCGGGCACCCGCAGCTCCCGAGACCGACCTCACCCTCGTCCTGCTGTTCTCTCACCAGCAACTAAGGCTGACCTGCCCCTCATCCTGCCATTGTCTCACCAACCACTGGCGCTTGCAAGCCACATGGCCACTCCGGTGAGCCACATGCCCGCCTGTGGCCGCCCACGGAATCGCGGGGCCAAGTCGGCTCGTGGGGGCTAGAGGCGGTAATCTGCGTTTGCGTCGGCCAGGGGCCCATGGTTCGTCGAGGCTCGAAGCGGCAGCAGACATTGGCGCCGCCCCAGGGCCCACAGGCTGCGGGTGTAACCCAGAGGCTGGAACGCACGCTGCTGCATCCGAGTGGAGAACATGCGGAGGCCACGCGCTCGATACACGCGGGGAGGGCTGGTATGTCTGACCGGGGGCCGACCGCTGGAAAGACGCACGGTCAGTGTGTATCCACCTTCCTGGTAGGCGCGGGCTCGTGGGGGCTCGAGGCGGCAACCGGCGCTGGCGTTGCCTTGCGTCTCGTGAGGGACAAGGCTCGTACTTGGCTGAGGGCAGCGACCAGAAGCAATATCGCATAAATTCCATGTATCACAAACTTCGCGCTAACTCCCTCGGGTGGAAAGACTTCGTGGGGAATCTTGTTTTCCACCCGTGGTCTCTCAACACATTCCTGGCGATGGGGATCGCAACCGTTCTCTGGCCATGAAGGCTGGCAACCCGTCAAACCTGCGAAAGCTGCTCTCGGTCCATCTATTTTTACAACTTGCAAGTCGACATATGCCTGAGGAGGCTGAAGACCACGCCTTGAACGTGTTACTCAAGCCAAAGTCCACGATCTTCACATCCTGGTGCTGCAGGACTGTCACTTGTTTGCTGGAGCAGTTAACAACATACTGCTTCTGATGCGCTCCAGTGCGACACGATGTGCCCCTTGCTCGAAAGAGCGAGTTCATCGAAACAACACTTGGTACATAGCATGCCTGCGATGAGCTTCTGCTCGAATCACAACTGTCGAAGTGAATGTTCGCCACTCCAAGTCCCAACTTGTTTGCGAACGATACCGCTCGTATGCGCCGTCGCAGTCCTTGCTACCCCTGCACATCCCCCACATCCCTGGCCCACCAGAGCTCCTCCTCCCAGCCCCTCCTTTCTCCGCCCCGCCCGAGCTCCAACTCCACTTGCTTCACCCTCTGCTGCCACACCTACGGCATGTTCGTGTGGTACCGACTTCGGCATCGGTTTCCGACACTGCGGGGACCGTTCCACCTTGAACGATCGGCCGTTTCCGAAACTTCGGATCGTTCAACGTCGACCATCTCTGAGTCGCCGGCGCTATGCCTGAACGCCGGCGGCGGGGTCGCCACCGGTCGACGCGAAACCACGACGGTGGTACCAAAGGTCAGAGCAGAGGCAGCCGCGTCTCACAATGGCCAGGCAGAGTGCTAGCCCACCCAGCCGCCACAGCGCAGAGCAGCGACGATGATGGTGACGATGACTTGCCGTCGCTCCGACGTCCATTTTTTCGGTTTCGTACGTGTTTTTCTTCTGCACACGCGGGCCGAAGGGCCCACTCCCATCTCAAAGGTCAGAGCGGAGACAGCCGCGTCCAACGCAAACCTACAAAGCACCGTCCAAAGGTCTGAACGGAGACAGCCGCATCCAACGCAGGCCTACAAAGCACACATGTCGTGCCGAGTCGATACGTGACTGGGCTGGCTGATACGGACGCGCTGGCGCCTGCTCATCCCCTGGGCCCCGGTGGGGGCGGGGGGCGCGCCGGGACGTGCGGCGAAAACCGAAAACGCGCCTAGGGCTGACCCGGGCACCGTTTGCGCACATGTGCTCCCGAACAGTTTACGTTTTGTTCGTTTTGAACATGTCTCTTCCCCTCAACCGAGCGGCCGTGGACTAGGCCCTTGGGGGTCGTGGAATTCGCGAACAGATCGTGCCGAACCATTGGCGAACACCGTTTGTAATCATCCGAACACGAACGTATTTTTCACCCTTCCGAACGCATTATAGGCACGCCCAAGGCGACACACATCTAGCGTCGACTTCGCAATCACCGAAGGCTCACGACTCCACCCTCCATTGAAAGCCTGCCCAACATTTTCGACACAATGGGCAGCCTTCCTGAGGGCCCGACCCTGTGTAGCTTCGCGTAGTCCAGGGCGCGACACTCTCATCTAGTGATCACCGCAGGAGGGATGTGGTCAATTGAGCGGTAGTGGCGCATGCGATCGGGCTCACTGAGGCAGTAGGTGGAGCTCCCTGAGGGCCACATCTGTGAAAAGTGCGTGTATGGGTTTGGCGGGGCTCATCACTTTCTGGACATGCAGTGCAAGAAAAGTAGTAGCGGGTAAGGATTCGGGTCCAGGTTCGAATTCGGCTGCATTCCATCTTACTGAAGGCGTACATGTACGAACACAATGAATACACGGGAAATATGTGGGACGCTGGGATGGGCGACGTTCCTGTTAAACTGCAGACGGACACTTGAAAGCACATCAATTTTGTCGACGCACATTTTCCTACATGCGCATTTCCTTTCTGGCGCGTTCTTGGCGCATGAGTGTATGATTATGCGCGAAGTTGGGCGATATAGTACGAGGTGATTATGATGTAAACGAGCACGTGTATTGGCTGTGATGCGCCGCTGGTCGGTTCCTCCTTGGATGGCCCACATGCCGTGTTTGATGCATCACAGTGATACTGGGGTTCTTCAATAGGGCACATCTACCCCCTTACTGCGTGGACCCCAAAGTGCGGCATTGCCCTGTGGAAGTGAAAACTATGCGGTGTAAGCGATGCGGTATAAGTTATGTCGCGAAAGCTGCGCATGGTGAGCTGACGAGGTTGGAAGTATAATGTGGGAGTAATGCTGTGCAAGACATGTCGTGTAAGCTGGGCGGTGTGAGCTGCAGGTTTTAGCTATGGATTGTAAGCTATGCGATGTATGCTGCAGCGTGTAATTCATGCAAGTCAAGCTCTGTGGTGCAAGCTACGCAATTAAAACTATGTCCTGTAAGCTCACAAGATGGCGCGCCGACGGGGCGGCACGGGTTCCAACGTGGCGCGACCTCGGCCCCCCAAACACAGGGCGTCCGCGGGGCCCAGCGTGGCCCCAGCGCCGGCGGCAGCGCTGTCCGCAGCCCAGCGCCTCCCTGCTCAGCGCGCCGCCGCCGGCCCCGCGCCCCGCCGGCCCCGCGTTCCGGCCCGGCGCCGCCCCCAGCGCGGGGCCGAGGCCCAGCACCGCTCAATGCAGCCTGGCAGCGCGCCGTCTGGCCAGCAGCTGGGCGCTCAGCGCGCTTTGGAGGCCTCAGCTCTGGGCCGCGCCTGGCTGCGCCCCAGCTCCTCCCGGCGGCCGCGCCGTGGTCCCAGGCGGCGCCGGCGCCAACGCGGCGGCGGCCCGCCACGGCTGGGCTTGCGTTGCCGCGAAAGCCGCGTCTGCGGCGTGCCGTTGCAGCACGCTGCAGGCGTTGTTGCAGCGGCCGGATGACTGCGGAGCGCGCCGCGCTCCCCGCGGGCGCGACCTGCCGCGCGAGGGCCGCCGCGTCCTCGCCGAATCTCCTGCAGTCTTCCACGACGAACAGGATCATCGGCGCGCCGGGCCGTTCGGCGACGGCGGCGGCGGCCCCGGCCCGCATCGCCGCCCCGTTCGCCTGGGCATCCTGCGAGGTGGCGCTCGCGACCGCGAGGCCGATCAGGAGTGGCGCCGCGACGCCTGGGGCGTGGGCCACCAGATCCGCGCCTTAAGGCTCTGCGGCGACGTGCGGGGTAGGCAAGCCTCTCGGTGCACTGCGCAACCCGCGACATGCTGGCGGACGAATCACCCGCCGACTGGGCGGCCCAGGGCGTGCCGGCCCTTCGGGTCCAGCCGGGCACGGGCGGCCGCGTGGCGTAACTCGGCATGTCTCTCCAGCGACCAGGGCGCCCGCGACTCGGCGCGGGCGGCGGCGCGGCGCGACGTCGGCGCGCCCCCGAAGCGCGGGGCGCCCGCGAGGCGCCCCCCAAGCGGCACAAATCGCAACGTGGTGAGAACCCTCCGTGGCCAACTACGGCCCACCATCACTACGCCGAGCACCCGTATGGACGCGTAGGCAAACGCACCAAACGCGCGCAATAGCGTGTCAGAGGCAGCAAAGACACACCGAATAATAACCCCTGCGTACAAAGATCACCATGAAGGAGATACAGAAGAAATAGCCATGCATTCAAACGCGGTTTTGGAAGCAACTTCGCGTCCGATACACTCCCACAATCTGGGTGCGAACCTGCCCGTGCAATGCCCCCGGTGCATCCCTCTTGGGCAATCCAAGTGCCGTGCCTGCTGCGTCATGGCGGCCATCAAGCTATGGGAACAAACGCGTCAACCTCCGCTGCATCGCGGCGGCCGCGAGGCCTGGGGAAAAACGAATTCACCTTCAAAATGCGAGCGCGGCGCTGGTGACATTCCCGCAATCTGGGTGCGACCAGGCCCGTGGAAGACCCACTGGTGGCTCCCTCCCTCTGACTGGTCTAAATGGAATGTCTGCTACATCGCAATAATCATGTGGGCAAACATAAAAACGCGCATACCTCTACGACTTGAGTGGTCTGAATGCCGATGACTCTGGATTGGGCGCGGGGCCTGGAGTGATTGGGGACGTGTCTATGGCAGGTTGGGGCGGGCGCCTCCCCTTTTGAGTTCCCGTTCCGAAACAGGACAGGCAGCGCCTGGTCACGGGCCCAAGCGCGCGCACCTGCGAATGACGCGAGGCAGGTGAGAAGAGAAAGCCGGGGAAATCAATGGACCGGAACTCATGTGAAAAAAACAATTGTTTGCACACACAACACACACACATATACATATATATATATGTGTATACACATACATACAGAGAGAGAGAGAGAGAGAGAGAGAGAAAGAGAGAGAGAGAGAGGGAGAAAAAAAAGAGAGAGGCGAACAAGGGCACGCGGGCGCAGGATTGATAAGTGAGCGGGCGCTCGGGAAGTCCTTTCTTTCAGGCGCCCGCAAAATACAGGCCGGCCACCTGGGGTTTCTGCGACAGGCGCTAGCCACCCCGAAGGGATTCAGCGACGCGCGCAGGTGGTCAGCTGAACGGTGCGAAAAAATTGTGCCGTCGAAAGGACATGCCCTTGGCCGCCCGTCAGACACCGCATGTGGACCTTGCCATTGGTGCGTTCGCTGGAGCCTCCTATTGGGTCACGGAGCGTGCGGGCGCGCGCCGGGACGGGTGCGACGCGCGAGAGCAGGCCCTGCCACGGGGGCCTTCGGCGGAAATCCCGACGCGGGCCGCGACGCGCCTGATGGGTGCGCCGAAATGAGCGGCGGGGCGCATGTGGACGCAGCCACTGGGGTCTTCGGTGGAGCTTTCCACTATGACTGCCAAACGTGCAAGGCAGCCAAGCGCGACAAAGTCGAACGCTAGGAACGCGCAGTCTGCGTGTTCCTAGCGTTCCTAGATTTTTTGCCTTGGTGTCTCTGCCAGAGACACCAAGGCAAAAAATCCCCCATGGGTCCCATGGGGATCTTTGCGCTTCAAGGTAGCAGGGGAGAACGCGAGGGAGGAAGACAATTACGCATATTACGTGAGATTGTGGACAGAACTGGTTAGGTTTTCCACGCTTCTGGCGGACGGCCCAATTCCTCGGGCAATCGCGTTCGTCGCACAAGATGGAAGAAATTAGCGACTCGCGGCGGGGGAATGCGCAATCGCATGGTCGCGCTGCAGAGCCTCAGTTTTCGAAATTCGCGAAACAGAAGGACCGCTGAATGCTGGGCAAACATATCCGGCATTTGCAATGGAACGCGCCATGGCGCTGTCTGTCCGGGTTCCAACAA